CCGCGACAAGCGGCGGCGGCGGCCGCAGAGGTGCCGGGTCCCGGAGGTGCGCGCGGTGCGGACGGAGCTGGCGACGGAGGACACGCGGGGCGGGCGGCGGGGCCGGGCCGGGGGGAGAGGGGCGCAGGGCAGGGGGCTCTGCTCACCCCCCCACACACCCCCCAAGTCCCGTGTATCGTGCGGGGGGGCGATGTGGCCCCCGCTCTGGCTCCGGCGGCCCCCCCGTGCCTCGTGGCAGGAAGCGACCGGGGAGGGGGCGGCCCGGGCCGACCCACGCGACACCCCGGGGACCCTCTCGGGACCGGGACACGAGGTCCCAGGCGCCAAAAGCTCCCCCGAGGCTCCCGAGTGGGCAGCGCCGGGTCTGTGTTGGAGCCACGTCTGGGAACACATCTCGGGGCTGGGGACACATGTGGAGTAGACGGGTAGATAGATGGGCTAGTGAACGCTCAAATGTGGGGGGCTGGGGGATCCCCAAATGCCCCCTGGCTGGGAGATCCTGCAGGGCACAAGGCCACGCTTGGTTCCCCCACATCTCTTGGATCCGTCTGGAGCTGGCGGTTCCTCTGGCAGCGCCAGAGCAGCGGGCGGGCTCGGCGTTGCTGCCCAACCTGCACGTGTCTGCCTGCACGGACACCCGTCGGCACCGCACCAGGGTGCCCTCCAGGTGCAGGCTGCGCTGGGGCGCTGCGACCCCTTGCAGGGGCAGCTCCTGGCCCCTTTCTCCCTGCGGTGCCCAAAAGAGATGCTCTTTGGGAACAGGCAAATCCCGCGGATGTCCCTTCTGCAGGGGCTGCCAAGGAGGTGCCCGGGGAGGCGCACACCCTCTCAGCACGTCGCCCATGCCAGCACCTCATGCCTGCCCCTTCCCTCCCACATCTAGGACCATGAGGGGTGTCTGGGCCCTCGCGCTGGCCGGGCTGCTCAGTGCCTGCGAGGGGCAGGAGCCGCCCCCGGCTGCGGCAGGTAAGGGGGCTGGGGGCAGCAGGCGGGCTTGGGCGCACAGTCCCGCCGGGGATCCCACTGGCCGCTCCGCTGCAGTGTTCCCAGCAGCGTGGCGCTCCCAGCGCGGCGGCTCCAGCTCCGGAGGTGCCCAGCCTGGGAGGAGGAGCCGTGGGGCCGGGTGCTCCCATCACCTTCCAGCCCCCGCCCCAGCTACAACCCCTTGGCACCATCCGGCCTTTCCAAGCAATTTTGGAGCAGGGGGCAGCCAGCACGAGACCCCGATCCCACTTCTCCGTGTGGGACCCACTCTGGGGAGCTGCAGGGAGAAGCACCGAGGTGTCGTGTTGGGCAGAGAGGGGCAGCACTGGGACCTGTCCCGGCTCTGTCCTTGTGGCACAAGGCAGGCGAGCGGCCCAACAAAGCGGCTGCAGCAAAAATTGCTCTGCCGACATCCCTGCTCCGCATCTGGGAGCATCCAGCAGAGGAGGAGAGCTGCTGCTAAAGCAATAAATACATCAGGGCCCTTGCAAACAGCTTCCCTGTGGTCGTGCCTGATACGGCATTTCCTGCTTGTCCCCATTCCCAGCTGGTGACGCTCCCTGGCCACCGCTCAGCCTCACTGCTGGCCCTGCCTGTCCCCTCGTGTGTGTCCTGGTTGTCCCCTCTGTGCTGGGAGGCTCGGGGCGCTGGTGCCCGATGGCATCGCGGGCATTTCAGCCGGTGAACTTGGCCAGCTGGGCTGAATCCGAGCGTGCTGCCTGGCTGTTCCCAGCACGCTTCCCAAAGGCAGGCGGCTCGCAAGGAGCCGGCGGCCCCGGGGACAGCGCGGTGACACGTGGCCTTGCCTTGCAGAGGAGCCATGTCCGCCGCTGCACGATGAGAACCTGCTCGGGGACAAGTACGCCAACGTGACGGGTAAGGAGAGCCCTTGCGCCCTGTGTGTCAAGAGCATCAGGCCTCAGCCCCCACGGGGCAAGCGGCCGCCTCACCCTCCTGCTCCCCCCTGCAGGTTTCAACCTCATCAAGAGGTTCGAGCTGCTGAAGATCTCGGCCGTCAAGAAAATCCGCAACCCCAAGGGACCGCTGATCCTGCGGCTGGGCGCCGCGCCGCTCGTGCAGCCCACGCAGTGAGTGCCAGAGCGCGCGGGGCGGCCCTGGCAGCACCCAAGGGTGCAGGAGGAGGCCCTGGTGCTGCCCCTTGCCGCCTTCCTCCTGGAAAGCCATCCCTGAGCTCAAGCGGCTCGGCTGGGCTGCGGCCAGGCCTTGCGCAAGGGCCCTGTTTGCTCTCCCGCCTTGGCAGGCGCTCGCTGGGGCCCAGCGAGCCGCTCGGAACGCCGCTGCGCTCCGGAGGCGGCGCAGGGAAAGCCGGGGAAGGAAGGGGCTCTCCCAAGGGATGCTGGCATGAGGGTGGCAGCGTGGGATGCAGGAGATGCATCCCCGGCTCCCGCCTCCGCAGCCGAGTCCTCGGATGGCTTTCCGAGGGCGGATGCGGCAGCCCGGGGTTGCTTTTGGCCGGCTGCCCGCGCGGCCGGGTGCCAGCCCGCGGGAAGCGCTTGGCGCAGGGACGGATGCGGAGAGCAGAGCGGCTCTCCCACGGGCACCCCTGGCTCTGCTCTGGCTCTGCAGCTCCCGGAGCACAGCCGGGCCCACGGGCTCCATCCCGCTCTGGCTCCCGCCCTGGTCCCACTCCAGAGCGGTGGCTCCGAGAATCACTGGCACGCAGAGCCATTGGCAGCACCGTGGCCCAAAGCAAATATTCCCAGCGAGCTGCAGAGCCCTGGGGCGAGATCGGCACGGACGTGCCGGGCAGGCAGGGAGGGAGGCCCTGGCTTTGGGGCTGGGCTGCACGGCTCCGTCTCAGCTCCTTCCCGTGCGTCTGGGCCAGAGCAGACGGGTTGGAGCCTCTCCACCAGCTCCGGAGCGAGGGAGCTGGGATGGAGGTGCCCAGGGATGGAGGCGCTGGGCGGGTGTCCCGGGGCGGATGCTCCGCTGCAGCCGTGCGGGCCCTCGTTTGGCTGGTGGAGGACCTGGTGTTGGTGGCCCTCGTGTCACTGAGCCTGCCCGGGGGCGCGTGGCCGCCGGTGACATCCCCCCCGCAGGCGGCTGTTCCCCCGCGGGCTGCCCGACGGCTTCACGCTCGTGCTCACCCTGCGCCTCAAGAAGAACAGCAGCAGCGAGGACTGGTACCTCTTCCAGGCCACCGACCGCCAGGGCTACCCCCAGGTACAGCGCGAGCCGTGACGGGGGACGCGACCGGGCTGGGGACATCCCCGTGCCACGTGTCCCCTCCCTGCCCAGCTCTCGCTGGCCCTGCACGGCCCCGAGAAGAGCCTCGAGCTGCAGGCCCGCGCGCCGGGGGACACCTTTGTCAGCGCCGTCTTCACGGGCAAGGGCGTCTCGTCCCTCTTCGACAGCCGGTGGCACAAGGTGGCCCTGAGCGTGCAGAGCCGCGCGGCCACCGTGCACATCGACTGCGGCTTCATCTCCTCCAAGCCGCTGGCGCCGCGGCGGGCGCTGGTGCCCGAGGGCCATGCCCTGCTGGGGCTGGATGCCGTGCGCGGGACCCCGGTGCAGGTGAGGGGGTGCCCGGCGCTGCTGGCAGCCCCTGGCCCCACATGCCCCTCATCCTTGGTCCTTGCCCCCGTCCCAGTTCGACCTGCAGCAGGCGCAGATCTACTGCGACGCGGCGCTGGCGCGGCACGAGGGCTGCTGCGAGATCTCGGCCGGCGGGGTGAGTCCCCGAGGGGGAAACCGAGGCGCGTCGCGGGGCCCCGTGCGCGGAGCCCTCATCCCGGGGCTCCTGTCCCCGCTTGTCCCCCGCAGTGCCTGGCGGAAGCGCCCAAGACGCGGCGGCAGGCGGAGCTGGGGCACGGCAGCAACCTCGTCGAGATGTCGCCGCAGGGTCCGGGCAGGCTCTTCACGCGCTGCTTCTGCCTGCAGGAGCCGCTGGGCGGCACGGCGGGCGGCACGGTGAGCGCCGCGCGCGGGGACGCTGCCTGCCGCGGTGGCCCCGTGCCGGCATCGGCGCCGCGGAGCACAAAACCGCATGGATTCGGCTCTGGAAAAGCCCCGGCTCACATTTTCCAGAGCCACGGAGTGGGGATTCAGGGACGGGAAGGGAAGGCTCCTTGCAGCGCAGCCAGATGTGCTGGGTCCCAGCAGCTCCTCCCCAGAGGGCCCTGGTCTTGGGAGGTGTCACCCGTGGGTGTCCCACAGCTGTCACCCATGGGTGCATGGGCAGGTGTAGCCCGGTGGCTCCCCATTAAGGTATAAACCCTGGTGCTCAGGGCTGTCCGTGCCCCGTGGGGCTCTGCTCTCTCCGCAGGAGCCAGCAGGGGCCTTGGGGAAGACCATCCTCAAGGGCGACCTCGGGGATAAGGTGAGGGCAGGGGGCAGAGCCCGGATGCTCCGGTCCAAGCCTGTGTCCCACGTTGGTCCCCGCTGTCCCCGGGCCTCTCCGGTAGCTGCCAGGCCTGTGCGGTGCCCTGGGCACCTGAGCGCCGGGATGCTCCGTCACCACTTCCCAAGTGCTGCAGGGGCCTCTCCTTTCCCCCGCGTGGCCACGGAGCAGGGGAACAAGCCCTGTGCACTGCCCATGCAGCTGCATCCTGGGGCCGTGCCCGCTCATCCGGGACCCCCCATGCGGGATCCCGCAGGGGATTCGGGCAGCGCAGCGGGAGCGTTGGGGCCACCCCGCTCTCCTGATCCATGTCACCTCCCCGCAGGGCTATCGGGGTCCCCCTGGGCGGCCGGGGGTGCTCGGCGAGGAGGTGAGTCCCGTGGGACATGGGGGTGCTGGGATGTCCCTCCTCTGCCCGCCCCATGGCTGGAGGGACCCCTGGGGGGACAGAGCCGTGTCGGGGAGGTGACAAGTGACTGCGTTTCTTCCAGTGCCCTCCCTGCTCGCCGCCTGCGGCTTCCGGGAACGTAAGTGTCGCACCGTGCCCTGCCATGCCAGGCTATCCCATGATGTGCCATGCCAGGCTATTCTGTGCCGTGCCAGGCTATCCCATGCCATGCTAGGCTATCCCATGCCGTGCCATGCCAGGCTCTCCTGTGCCCTGTGTCTCCTCTCTCAGCTGGGCAGCCGGGAGGCTTCTCTCTTTGAAGCTGCGCCCGCGACGTCCCCACGTGCCGGGCGCAGAGCGGCTCCGTCACCACCGCGGCCGTCCCCGCCGCTCCTGGCCCGTGTCCCGGGGAACATCTGGCTGCCTGCGGAAGGTCCCTGATGCTCTCCAGATGTGGGACCGTTCCTATGGCAACCTCTGTCCGGAGTCATAGGGCGGGGGAGGCGACAATGGCAGCAGGGATGGGGACTCCGGCCAGGAATTGGGTCTGGGTGACATTGCTCTCCTCTCCCTCTAGGTCACACTCGGTCCCCCAGGCCCAAAGGTAGGTCTGTCATCACCCCAGGGACATGCAGGACCCGGCTCCCATGGGGACATGGCCACGGAGCCCCTCCACCCTGCCTGGAGCATCCCGGTCCCCACGGAGCATCCTGATCCCCGCATTCCCCAGCCGCTCCGTCCTCCTCTCTTGCAGGGCGGGAAGGGAGAGCGCGGCCTGGCTGGCCCCCACGGCACCAAGGGGGAGAAAGGTGACCGCGTGAGTGTCCCCATGGGGGTCCCATGGACATGGAGGGGGGACGTGTGTGGCCCTGGGACCGCTGCCGTGTCCCATAGGAGCCCTGCTCGCCCTGAGCCCTCCCCTCTCCTCCCCAGGGTGCCGACTGTGTGCGGACGGTCCCCGATGGCACCCTGCAGGTGAGACCCCCCCTTGTCCCATCCGCGTGTCCCCCTCTGTGCCACCCTCCCCTGAACCCCCTTTTTGTGTCCCCAGTGCGCCGAGGGCCCGCAGGGCGAGAAGGGGCAGCGCGGAGAGGCGGTGAGTGCTGCTCCAGCGGGGCCCCGCTTCCCCCCGGAGCCGGGATGGGGTGGGATGCGCTGGCGGGTGCTGTGGCTCCGGCTGCTCCCGCACCGCCGCTGCCTCCCGCGGCTCCCACTCCCACCAAGGGTTGGCACGGCAGCGCGCCAGTCTTGGGGTGCCACGTCCCATGTGGCGACCCCAGTGTGGCCCCGCTCCCAGTGAATCCATGGCCCCGCTCCTGGTGAATCCGTGGCCCTGCTCCCAGTGAATCTGTGTCCCTGCTAACAGTCATCTCTGCTGCTCACAGGGGCTCCCTGGAGCGACTGGCGCTGACGGGCAGAAGGTACCGGTGGCCCTCGGGCAATGCAGAGGCTGCGGGCTGCAGTGCAGGGGGTAGCAGTGCAGGGGGGCAGCAGTGCAGGGAATGGGGGCTGCAATGCAGAGGGTAACAGTGTGGAGTGGGGGCTGCAATGCAGGGAACAGCACTGCAAGGCTGGGGGCTGCAATACAGGGGCTGGGGGCTGCGATGCAGGGGGGCAGCACTGCAAGGACTGGGGGGCTGCAATTCAAGGACTGGGGGGCTGCAATACAGGGGCTGGGGGCTGCGATGCAGGGAGCAGCACTGCAAGGCTGGGGGCTGCAATTCAAGGGCTGGGGGCTGCAATGCAGGGAGCAGCACTGCAAGACTGGGGGGCTGCAATACAGGGGCTGGGGGGCTGCAATACAGGGGCTGGGGGCTGCGATGCAGGGGGCAGCAGTGCAGGGTGGGGGCAGCAGCGAGGGGCTGTGGGGCAGCAGGGTGGGGGCCGGGGAGCCCCCACATTTCGCATGCAGCCCCTGAGTGTGGCTCTTGCAGGGCCAGAAGGGCGACAAAGGCGACGGGGGCCTGCAGGGCAAGCCGGGCCGCCCGGGCCGCGACGTGAGTAGCCCCGCCAGCCCCTGCCAATGCATCCACAAGTCACCATCCTGCAGCATTCCTGGCGCTCTCCCTGCTCCTTCCCGCATGCCTGGCGCTCTTGGTGCTCCCTCCTGCAGGCCTGGTGCTCTCCCTGCTCTCTCTCACCTTCCCAGTGCTCTCCCTGCTCCTTCCCACGTGTCCAATGCCCTCCCTGCTTCCCTCTGCATTCCCAGTTCTCTCCCTGCTCCCTCCTGCGTTCCTGGAGCCCTCTCTGCTCCCTCCTGCATTCCCGGAGCCCTCCATGCTCCATCCCACATTCCTGGCTCTGCTCCCTCTCCGGCAGGGCCGTCCAGGAGAGATCTGCGTGGTGGGACCCAAGGGCCAGAAGGTTTGTGGGGGCTCCGGGAGGGCTGGGGGACGCTGGACCCCCATATGCCCAGGGCTTGTGCTGAGCGCCCGCTGTGCCTTGCAGGGCGACCCAGGCCTAGTGGGACCTGAGGGGCTGGCTGGCGAGCCAGGACCGCCGGGGAAGCCGGGACCGCCGGGAATCGGCTTTCCAGGGAAGCCGGTAAGAACGCCCGGCCCTCGGGAGCATCCCGGGCTCCGTGCTGGCCGCGTGCGCAGCGCAGAGCTAATGCTGTCCTCCCTGCTGGCAGGGCGACCCTGGTGGCCCCCCGGGACCCAAGGGAGACAAGGTGAGTGTGTCCCCGTGCCAGGATCAGCCCAGAGCTGCCGCCTCCCGCATCCCGATCCGGCTGCTCCGGCACGCGGGCTCAGCTCCCCTCCTCCCGCCTCTAGGGTGACTCTGGACCCGGAGGATCCCCTGGGAAGCCTGTGAGTACCGTGGGGCAGGGAGGGCTTTCCTGGGTGCTCATGTGGGATCCAAGCCTTGGCCATCCTCCCATGGGGGAGCCACTGTCCTCATTCATGGCTGGGACCATCCCTGATGCATCCCTGGATTCCTATTCCTGGGGGCGCATCCCTGGGGCACATCCCTGTCCTGTGTTGGATTCCCATCTGTGGGCAGTGGCTGCTCCCATACGCAGCCCCCTCCTCCTCTTTCCTCCCACAGGGCCCCCATGGCGCCACGGGGACTAAAGGTGACAAGGTGGGTGCAGCACCGGGGGCCTCGTCACTGTTACCCCATGGTTGCCCCGTCCCCCTGGGGCTGGCGGTGGCCCCGTGTCACCGTGCCCATCCCGACAGGGCGAGCCGTGCCAGCCGTGTCCCGTGTCCGTGGGGACGCTCGGGGCCGCCGGGCTCCCCGGGCAGCCGGGAGTCAGGGGAGAGCCCGGAGCGCCGGGCAAGGACGGGATCTCGGTGAGCGCCAGCGTGGTGGGAGGGGGCACAGGGGGGCACCAGAGGCTCATTCTGCTTCCCTAACATTCCCGCTTGGCTCCTCCATCTCCAGGACAGACCTGGCCCCGCTGGACCCAAAGGAGACAGGGTAGGTGATGCCAGAGCCACATACGGAGCATCCTTATGGAGCAGGGTGGATCCTCCAGCAATGGTCCCATGCTGAGATGTTCTTGGAGGGAATTGGCTCCCAGGGATGAGATTGGATCTTGGAGCCTGGGCGGGATTGGTGCTGCTGCCCAGCGCCTCTCTTTCCCCCCCAGGGAGACCCCGGCATCAACGGGATAAAGGGCGAGAAGGTGAGCGCCTCCATCCGTCCCTCCCGGCCACCCATAGCGGGGACCCGGTGTCCCTGAGCCCTTGTCCCTGCGCAGGGTGACTCGTGCGTGCCGTGTGACGCCGGCATCCTGGCCGCGCTGCTGCAGAGCCCCGTGGCGGGGCCGCCGCCGGTGAGTCCACGGCCGAGCCCTGTGCCCGCGGCGCCCGTGGGCACGTGCCGGGTGCTGACTGCACACACTGTCCCCAGGGCGCAGCGGCGCTGCCCGGGCTGGCTGGCATCAAGGGCGAGAAGGTGAGTGAATTCCCCCTGCACCCCCTGCCCGCGCTGGGCGCTGCCCCCGGCGGCTGCTTCCCGCTCCCGCTCTGCTGCAGGGCGACGGCGGCCACCAGGGACCCGCGGGCACACGGGTGAGTGGGGACGTGCGGGGACGCGGCAGGGCTGGGCGCGTCCTGGCACCCGGCCGCCTCTCCTCTCCGCGTCGCCTCCTCCGTGCAGGGGCTGCCGGGAGAGAAGGGACACCCGGGAGCCCAGGGAATCAAGGGAGACAAGGTGAGACCCTCTCTGTCCCCAGATGTCCCCAGATGTCCCCTGCCTCCCCAGAGCTCAGGCTGAGACCGGTGCAGCTCATTGCAAGGGGCGGCCGGGAATGGGGAGAGCGGGGCCCGCCGGGGCTCCTGCGCTGCCACCCCACCGCGCCGTGTCCCCTCTCCGCAGGGCGAGCCGTGCGGGCAGTGCCCGCCCGCTCCGCAGGCCCTCCAAGGGGCCACCACGGCGCTGGCCGTGCCGGGGCCACCGGGACCACCGGGCAGAGCGGTGAGTGGCCCCTTTGTGTGCGGCGAGGGGAGGGTGCTCCGGTGATGCCCGTTTGGGGCACCACGGGGTACATCCTGGCCTCACCGCCTGCTCCGTGTCCCCAGGGCAAACCCGGAGGCGCCGGTCCCCAAGGGCAGAAGGTGAGAGTGGCACCGAGCAGCCGCAGAGCCTGGGGAGGACAGTGCCACGGGCTGCGAACTCCCTTGCCCACGGGCATCCCCACACCAGCCTCGTGGCCTCTCTTTGCTAGGGGGACACAGGGAGCCCCGGGGACCCGGGCACGCCGGGCCTGGCCGGTGTCCCAGGGCTCGCGGGTGAGCCTGGCACGCGGGGCCCAGCTGGGCCCAAGGGCGACAAGGTGAGTGGCAGGGGTCCCCATGGTCCCCACAGCACCGAGTCCCCCCTGGCTCCTCCCAACCTCCCGTTCCCGCTCCGTCCTGCCCAGGGCGACGCCTGCGAGTCCTGCCCCGTGCTCCAAGGGGAGTTCTTGGACGTGATGGGCATCCCTGGAAAACCCGGTGCCAAGGGGGAGCAGGGCGCGCCGGGCATCGGCGAGCCGGGCAGACCCGTGAGTGCCTGCGGCTCCACAGTGCCGGATCCCTGTGGTGCCGGATCCCTGGCACTGACCGTGTGTGTTGCAGGGGAAGCCGGGCCTGCCTGGGATCCAGGGCCCCCCCGGGCCAAAGGGGCTGCAGGTGAGTGGGGTCCATGCGGGACTTGGGCACGGGGCCCTCAGCGCCCCTCACACTGCTCTGTGCCCACAGGGCGAGCGGGGACCGCAAGGGATCGGCCAGCCGGGCCCGATGGTGAGTGCGGGGGTGCTCGGCCCCCTGGTATGGTCCGTAGCCCTCGGGGGCTTGGTGGGGCCGAGCAGTGCCGTGCAATGCCGTGCAGTGCCATGTTGTGCCATGCTGTACTGTGCAACGCCCTGCAATGCTGTGCAATGCTATGCAATGTGTGCTGTACCATGCAATGCCTTGCAATGCCCTGCAACACTATGCAATGCTGTGCAATGCTGTGCTGTGCCATGCAACGCTGTGCACTGCAATGCTGTGCAATTGCATGCAATGCTGTGAAGTACCGTGCAATGCCATGCAATGCCGCACAGTGCCATGCTGTGCCATGCAATGCAATGCCACGCCATGCCATGCTGAGCAATGCTGTGCTGGGTGGCTCAGCCAGCTCACACACTCTCTGTTCCCCAGGGAGAGCCTGGAATGACTGGACCACCTGGAATAGCCGTAAGTAGCATGTTGGGCTCCTCAATGCACCCCCAACTCTGCAAGCCGTGGGATCTCCCAATTCCTGGTGGGACCTTTCCCGTGCAACTCACCTGTGCTGGGAGTGGAAGCATAATCCCAACCAGAGCAGAGCTCTGGAGTGGCTTTGCTGACCCACAGTGGCACTGGTCCCACATGGATCACTGAGGTGTCACGGCAGCTAATGCCACCTCCTGTCCCCAGGGCCCCCCCGGACCTCAGGGACCCCCAGGCACCGCAGCAGAGAAAGGCGCCAAGGTGAGGCCGGGTCCCCAAGCTGCCCACAACCTTTCCTACCGCCCCCCTTCCCATGTGCTGCATGATCCCTAATCCATGCTCCCCCTCTCTGCAGGGATCTCCAGGGTCCAAAGGTGCTGTGGGCCCCCCAGGGCCACCAGGGACCAGCATCACGGGGCCACCGGTAGGTCCTGCATCCTAGGTGGACGTCACTATCCTCCCTGGCTCAAGGAGCGGGAAGCAGCAAAGCTGCAGCTTCCTCCCACGCTCCTTGCTCTCCTCTTCCTCGCAGGGCCGTGAAGGGCAGCGGGGGCTGCCGGGGGTGCCCGGCTCCAGCGGGCTGCCGGTATGTAGGGACCTGGGGCACAGCGCAGCTGGGGACGGGGACATGGGGGTGGCTGCATGCTGATGTCCCTGCCTTTCCTGCACAGGGAGAGAAGGGCGCCCGCGGCGAGAAGGTGAGTGAGGCCTGGGGTCCCTGCCACCCCCCCACCTACACACGGGTGCCCCCGGGCTTGTCCCCATGTCCCTCACCCCCCTGTTCCTTCAGGGAGACGCTGGCGAGTGCCTGTGCCCGCCTGGCACGCGGCAGGACGGCGGCTCCGTGGGGATGCCGGTAAGCGCCGCGTGCGCCCCGTCACCCCTGTCCCTGCTGTCCCCTGTGCCCCCGGCCCCGCTCGGCCCCCGCTCAGCGCTCTGCCCTTCTCTCGGTGCCAGGGAGCCCCTGGACTCTGGAGCGGCGTGTCCTGGCAGCCCGGCCCGCAGGTGCGTGCCGGCCCGCGGCGCTGCCGCCCTGCCCGCGCTGCGCCCCCCGCCTCACCGCCCCTTCCTCTCTCCTGGGCTCTTGCAGGGACCCCCCGGAGCGCCAGGACCCCCCGGGCCACCCGGCGCCCCCGGCCGCCAGGTGAGTGCCAGGGAGGACGGGATGGCTCCCTGCAAAGGGGCGGCGATGGGAGTTCTCCCTGTGCTCGGTTCTAGGGCATCCCGGGACACAACGGCCTCCCCGGACTGCCAGGGCCGGCTGGAGACTTGGTAGGTGGCAGCAGCGCTGTGTGCCAGTGCCCTTCCTCATCTTCCTCTTCCTCCTCCTCATCTGTGTCCCTCGCAGGGGCCACTGGCCGTGGTGGCCGAGAGGAACATGGAGGTGCTGAAGGTGAGCGTGCAGGGATGGGTGCACGGGGACGGGCACGTGGTGCCCAGGCCTCGCTCACGCTGCCACCGTCCCCCCTAGAGCCTGTGCGGGGACTGCGTGCAGCTGCAGGCCGCCCTCGTGGCACCGGCCGAGGACACGGGCGAGCCAGGCCGGCCCGGCGCCCCCGGCAGCGAGAGCTGCGCCCGCGTGAGTATCCTGCAGCCCTGGCACGTCCAGGGGCTGCAGCAGGGATGCTCCTGCAAAGCCAGGCATTGGAGAGAGTGACGGTGGTGCAGCGTGGCACACGTGTGCACGCTGGTGGTGCAATGCAGCACACGCATGCACAGTGCTGGTTCAATGTGTTTGCTGGTGATGCAGCACCACGTGTGCATGCACAGCAGTGGTGCAGTTTGGCACACATGCACAGTGCTGGTGCATGCTAGTGGATCATGGACATGCACAATAGAGTTGCAATGTGGCACACACAGCAGTGGTGCAACATGAAACACTCATGCATGGCCGTGGTGCAACACAATGCATGCATGCATGATGGATTGTGCAACGCATGCATGGCAGTGGTGCAATGAAATGCACGCTGGTTGTGCAATGCAGCACATGCATGCATGGCAGTGGTGCAATGAGATGCATGCCTGCATGGCAGTTGTGCAATGCAGCATGTGCATGCATGGCAGTGGTGCAGTGAAATGCAAACTTGCACAGCGGTTGTGCAATGCAGCACGTGCATGCAAGGCAGTGGTGCAATGCAGCATGCTCACACATGTTGGTGGTGCAACATGGCACGCGCATGCAGAGCGGAGATGCAACACGACACACGTGTGCATGGCTGGGCCCGCTCCGGCCACGCCGGTCCCCTCGGCGACACGCCGGGCTGAGCGGCACCCTGCTTGGCGAGGGTGACAGCCGCTCTCCTTGCAGTGCTTCGCCCAGCTGCCGCGGGCAGAGGAGGCTCGGGTGAGTGCCCCACGCAGCCGGGAGCCCCACGCGCTCCGGTGCATCCCGGAGCCCCGGGGCGGGTGGCAGCATCTCCTGCCACGGCCCCATTCCCCGCAGGGTGACAGCCCGGACACGGACTGCGTGGGTGAGCCTGGGCACCCGGGCACCCCGGGCATCCCTGGAGAGAGAGGGGAGCAGGTAGGTGCCACACCGGGGCCACCGGGGCCGTGATGTGGGAGGACCCACAGCTCATTGCACCCGTGTCCCCCTGCCCAGGGCTCACCAGGACTGCGGGGACCCCCGGGGCTGCCCGGGCCTGTCGTAAGTACCGGGGCCGCGCGCCCCTGCGAGGGGGCATCGACGTAGGGCACTGGGGCAGGGGCTTGGACACCCCCCCCCAGTTCCCCTGGCTGCAAAGCAACAAGGGGGACGTCCCCGAGGCCACGGTGATGGGCAGAGGGCCCCAGCCCGGCCACACGTGGCTGCTGAGTCCAGAGGTGGAGGCGCTGCCGCCCCTTCCTGATCCCGCCCGCCCGGAGCCAGCACAGAGGCTGCCAGTGCCCGGCGCGGCCGCCCGGCTCCCGCAGCGGCTCCGTGACCTGCCTGTTTCTCCCCTCAGGGCCCCCCAGGCTTTCCCGGAACGCCGGGCGCTCCCGGACTGCCCGTAAGGACCAGCACGGCTCTGCTCTGTGCCGTCTGTTGCTGCCGCTTGGTTTGGCTGTGTCCTCGGCGCCCTGCGGGCACCGGCACAGCCGGTCCCCTGGCACCCATCCCCTCGCCTCCTCTGCCACCTCCACATGCCCATCTCATACCCTCCAGCTCCTCCAGCTCCATGCGGGGGCTCTCGGATGGGCCAGGGTTCCCACAGTTGGGAATGACCTTCCTGAGCTGGGAAGCGTCGTTCCTGGTGCCGGGAGGCTCCTGTGTCGCATCCTTTGGCCTCCCGTGGGTGCTCTGGGGGTGGTGGCCGTCCCTGCGAGTGGGACCTGCTGGCTCTGTGACACCTGGCGCTGCTGCAGCTGCCCGGTCCCCATCCCGTCCACTCCCGGGCTCCCTCCTTGCTCCCGGATGGAGCAGGGTGTCCCGCGATCTTCTCATGGAGCTGGAGCTGCCTGGGTTCATCTTCCTCATCCCCACAGCCTCATCTGGGGTTACCCCAGATCCATCATCATCTTCATCCTCATCCTCATCTTCATCCTGCTGTCTCCACCAGCAGCAGAGCCGCTCTCCAGGACAGCACAGGGGCAGGGAGAGGTGGCCCCTGCCCTTGCTGGCTGTGTCCTGCTCCCGTGTCCCCGTGTCCCCCATGTCCCTGTGAGCTAATGGCACCGTAACATCACAGTCTGTGTGCGGCAGCGTGTCCTGTCCAGCGTCACCCCGTCAGCGCCCATAACCCCCACTAACCCGCTCCTGGTGTCGCTGCTCCGACGCCTGCCCGAGCACTCGCCCTGGCTCCTTCCCAGTGTGATCCTGGTGTGAGCCAGTCCAGTCCTGGTGTGATCCTGGTGCCATCCCGGAGCAATCCCGCTGCATCCCGTGCTGCAGCAAGCTGGGAGCAGGACGTGCTCCCTGTGCAGCGCTGGGATGCTCCGGGGGGAGCACGTTCAACTGTGGGGATGGCTATCCTGAGGTGTCCCCATCCACGTGGTGGCAATGGTGACACCAGGGGCCGTGCCCAGTCCTGCAGCCCCTGCCCTGGTGGGCACAGCCCTTGGCAGGGGCCCTTCCAGCCCCGCTGCATCCACCTCCTCTTTCCCAAGGGTCTCCAGGGTGAGCGCGGCCCCGCTGGACTTGCTGGCGCCAAAGGGGAGCCGGTGAGTGTGGGAGCGCAGCACCCATGGGCGCCGGGCGCCGGCCCGGGCACCTCAGCACCTTCCTCCTCCTCCTCTCCCTCCTGCTCCACAGGGACCACCAGGGCAGCCTGGATACCCGGGCGCCACCGGCCCGCCCGGCCTTCCCGTGAGTACACACGTCCCTGCTGGGAACAGGATCCTGGAGCGTCACATCCCAGCCCAGGAGCCAGATGGCCCAGCCAGGACCCAGCTGTCCCCTGTGCCCCTCCATCCCCCGCTGTCCCACCAATTCCCTCTGCTCCCTCCTATCCCCATCAGACTCCCGGGGACCCTCATTTACCCCACCATCCACCTCCCGTGCCCCATGCCTCCCCTGTGCCCTTCATCCCAGCTGTCCCCTGATGTCCCCTCTATACCGGGGGTCCCACCTATTCCCCCTGCCGCGTCCATCCTCGGTGTCTCCCATGCCATCCCTTCACCCGCTTCCTCCCGCAGGGCATCAAGGGTGAGCGAGGCTACGTGGGCCCCCCCGGGGAAAAAGGGGAGCCGGTGAGTGACCCATGGCCGGGTGGGGGTTTGGGGTGCAGGGGACACCTCTGCCCCCCAGCCGCCTCATCCCTGCTCCGCTCTCCCTCCCCAGGGTCCCCCCGGCTTGGACGGCGTTCCCGGTCCCACGGGACCAGTGGTAGGTCCCGGGCTGTGTCTGGATGGCAAGGGGGGGCGGCTTGTGGGGCTGGTGGCCCCCCCGGCCGCTCAGCCGCTGCGTCCGCTGTGCAGGGGCCGAGGGGCGAGCGGGGCGTCCCCGGCGGCGCCGGCGAGAAGGGCGACCAGGTGAGTGTCCCCCGGGCACGGGGACCCTGCGCGGGGCCACAACCGTGGCCATGGGGCTGCCGCGGCCCCCGGGCGCTGCCCTTCGCCTCTCCCCGCAGGGCTTCCAGGGACAGCCGGGCTTCCCGGGGCCGCCGGTGAGTGCGGGATGCGCGACTCGGGATGCGGGATGAGGGGTGTGGGATGCGGGATGTGATGCAGGGTGCGTGGCCGCTGGTGCGGGAGCCCTGGGCAAACGCGTTTGGTTTTGGGGCCGGCTCCGCCACACGGTGCCCTCGCCCCACGCCGCTGTTCTCCGTAGGGGCCTCCCGGCTTCCCGGGGAAAGCGGGGCCGGCCGGGCCGCCGGGTCCCGCCGCCGAGAAGGTCAGTGCCACGGTGCTCGCTCCGCAGTGTCCCAGTGCCGGAGCGGGGTCCGCCCGTGGCAGAGCTCCCTCCGGGGTGATCCCGGCTCCCGACGCTCCCTCCGGTGGCTCTTGCAGGGCAGCGAGGGCATGCGCGGCCCCACGGGGATGCCAGGACCCCCCGGCCCCCCCGGCCCACCGGGCATCCAGGTAAGGCCAATCCAGCCTTGGAATGGCTCTCCTGGGATCCACCGTTCCTGCAGCTCCTCCAGCTATGATCCTGAGCATCCACATGTCCGCAGGGCCCCGCTGGCGTGGAAGGGCTGGATGGCAAGGATGGCAAACCGGGAATGCGGGTGAGACGGGGCGGGCACAAGTCTCCAGCGTCCCCCCACGCAGCCCCATGTGCACCAGCCCACCCGCCTCTCCCGCCCTGTGTCCATAGGGAGACCCCGGCCCTCCCGGGCCCCCGGGGATGATGGGACCGCCGGTGAGTGACGCTATTCCTTGACGCCACCTGCTCCGTGCCGTGCGGCTGGGATCGTGTCCGTGCGGATGCGCAAGGGGCCGCAGGGACGGATCCCACCAGCCTCTCTCCTTGCAGGGCTTCAAGGGCAAGACGGGACACCCGGGGCTGCCGGGACCCAAGGTGAGCGGCCGGCACCGCGGCCATCCCCACCCTGGACGTGTCCCCACCACCGTGTCCCTCTGTCCCCCCAGGGCGACTGCGGCAAACCCGGCCCCCCCGGCAGCACCGGGCGGCCCGGCGCCGAGGTGAGCGGGGCGGCGGGGGCGGCGCGGGGCTCCGGCCTCCCCTCCTCGCTCCCGCTCAGCCGCTGCCTTCGCAGGGAGACCCCGGACCCATGGGACCACAGGGCCGGCAGGGACCTCCGGGGCTGGTCGTAAGTGGAAACCTTCGTGTCCGTGGAATGAGGGGGTCTGGCAGGGGGGTGGCTCCTTCTTCATCCCAATGCCATCCCGCTCTGCTCCGCAGGGTCCTCCGGGCAGTCCCGGGCAGCCGGGTCCTGCCGGCCTCGCTGGAGTGGTGAGTAGGGCCCGGCTCATCCCGCTCCATCCCGCGGAGCCGGGCAGGGAGCCGGCGATGGGGGCACCCTGCTCCGCTCCCCAAATCCTCCCGCCGCACTGCCTGCCCGCCGCTTCCCTCCCTAGGGAGCGAAGGGCGAGCGGGGATCCGCAGGAGACCGAGGGCTGCCGGGAATGCCGGGAGCACCGGGGCCGCCAGGACACCCCGGCCCGCCGGTGAGTGTCGGGATGGCGCGGGGTGCGCGGTGAGGTGCCCAGGACCCCGCTCCATCTCCCGTTTCCCTTGGATTTCCCAGGGAGAGATGGGGCCTGACGGACCAGTCGGCAAAGAGGTATGGGAGCCGTTTGGCTGCCTTTTCCCTCCGAGAGGATGAGGAGGGCGGGGATGCTGCTCCAACCTCGCTGCCACTTCTCCGTGTATCCGTAGGGCCCCCCAGGAAAGCCGGGCTCCGCGGGACCCGCCGGACAGAAGGTGAGGATGGTGCTTGGCGACGGTGATCCCCGCTCCAGGGGCGTTTCCACGCTGCATCCTGCCTTTCTCCCGGTTTTCCCGCAGGGCGAAGCCGGCTCTCCGGGCGAGAGGGGCTACCCTGGCGAGAAGGGCCGCGCCGGAGCACCGGGGGGGCCCGGCAAGAGCGGCTCCATGGGGCTGGTGGGACCGCGGGGTCCCGCCGGAGAGAGGGGGCCCCCCGGCGCGCCGGGGCCCGCGGGCAGCCCGGGGGTGCCGGGACCCCCGGGGATGATGGTGAGGAGCAAGGCGGGGGACGGAGAGCACAGGGACGGGGCGAGGGGTGGCAAGGGGGAGCGGTGACAGGATGGGGGGACACATCCTGCCTTGGGGCCCATCCCTGCGCCCGCCGCGGCAGGCGGACGCCGTCAACTACGACGAGATCAAGCGCTTCGTGCGGCAGGAGCTGAGCAAGATGTTTGATGGTGAGAGCCGGCCAAGGGGGTGGCCGGGACTCCCCCGGGACCCCCATGCTGACCCCCCACCGCATCCCCGCAGAGCGCATGGCCTATTACACCTCCCGGATGCACTTCCCGCTGGAGACGGTGTCGGCGCCGGGACGGCCGGGCCCGCCGGGCAAGGACGGGCTGCCGGGGCGGCCGGGGCCGCCGGGCTCGCCGGGGCTGCCGGGGCAGATCGGCCGCGAGGGCCGCCAGGGCGTGCCGGGCGCGCGAGGTGGGTGTCCCCGCGGCCGCCGCCGCCGCCTCACCGCGGCCGCCGCGTCACGCGCCGCGTCCCGCAGGAGAGCCGGGCGCCAAGGGCGAGAAGGGCGAGAAAGGAGTCGGCATCATGGGCGACAGCGGCCCGCCGGGCCCCCCAGGTGCGTCCGCATGGCCCTTACATGTGTCCCCCTGTGTCCCCCACTTTGGTGCATCCACATGTCCCTTCATGTCCCCAACTTTGGTGCATCCACATGTCCCTTCCATGTGTCCCCCTATGTCCCCCACTTTGGTGCATCCACATATCCCTTCCAGGTGTCCCCTTATGTCCCCCACTTTGGTGCATCCACATGTTCCTCTGTGTCCCCCACTTTGGTGCATCCACACATCCCTTCTGGGTGTCCTCCTATGTCCCCCACTTTGGTGCATCCACATGTCCCTTCCATGTGTCCCCCTATGTCCCCCCGTCGCCTCCCAACCATGGATGGTTGGACTCCATCACCTCAGTTCCACCTTTGAAGGAGGTGCATGAAGGAGGCAGGTGAATCATAGAATCATTATGATTCCATGACTCGGACTCATTATGGTTGGAAAACCATAATGGTTCTATGATTCTATAACTCATTATGGCTGGAAAAGACCTTTAAGATCATTAAACCCAACCGTCACCCTGTGCCCACCACGCCTGCCAAGCCGTGTCCCCCAGGGCCCCACCGACATGTCCCCATCCACAGAACCGTATGTTTTATTAATAACATCTCGGGTGTTGTTATAATCACTCCCTGTCAGCCCTGCCACCCAATGTGAGCTTAAACCTCCCGCGGCGCCCGTGTTTAGTAGCTACATATATGATGTGTGTGGTGTAACGTATGGGCAGCTGTATCGCCCATTGTCTGCCTGCCATGTCCCCCTTCGTGTCCCCAGGGTGTTGCCCACTGTATCCCCGCCACGCTGCCTGTTGTATTCCCCTCCACGTCACCCACTGTGTCCCCTCCACATCACCCACCCTATCCCTGCCATGTCGCTCACTGTGTCCCCCTCATGTTGTTCATCATCTCCCTACCACGTTGCCCGTTATGTCCCTACCATGACACCGCTCATGTCCCCATCATATCATCCATCATGTCCCCACAATGTCACCCATTATCTCCCCCCATGATACCCCTTGTATACCCCCATCATGTCCCCATCATGACACCCGCACTATCTCCCTCATATCACGCATCACGTCTCTACCACGTCACCCTCACATCCTCCCCATGTCACCCATCCTGTCCCCCCCAGGTCAACGCCCATGTCCCCACCTTGACACCCCCCATGTCCCCACCACATCACCCATCAACTCCCCACCCTGTCACCCACCATATCCTGATCATGACACCCATCATATCCCCACATCACCCCTTATCTCCCCCCCATTTCCCCCTCATATCACCCCCCATGTCCCCACCATGTCACCCACCATGTCCCCACCCTGTCACCCCCCATATCCCCACCACGACACTCAACACCTCCCCACCATGACACCCCCCTGTGTCCCCACCATGACACCCAATATGTCCCCACCGTGACACCCACCCTGTCTCCACCATGTCACCCACCACATCTCTACCATGTCACCCATCATGTCCTCACCCTGTTACCCCCCATATCTCCACCATGACACCCAATACATCCCCACCACGTCACCCATCATCTTCCCACCCTGTCACCCCCCCATATCCCCACCACGACACCCAACACCTCCCCACCATGACACCCAGCAGTTCCCCACTCCGTCACCCCCCATATCCCAACCCTCTCACCCCCCATATCCCCACCACGACACCCAACACATCCCCACCACGACACCCATCATCTCCCCACCCCGTCACCCATCACATCCCCACCACGTCACCCATCATCTCCCCACCCTGTCACCCATCATCTCCCCACCCTGTCACCCATCACATCCCCACCACGACACCCAACCCCTCCCCACCACGACACCCATCATCTCCCCACCATGTCCCCACCACGTCACCCACCATGTCCCCACCATGACACCCACCATGTCCCCACCACGTCACCCACCATGTCCCCACCATGACACCCACCATGTCCCCACCACGTCACCCGCACATTCCCCCCGCCGTCACCCACACCCTCCCTCCGCAGGGCCGCAGGGGCCGCCGGGCTACGGCAAGACGGGCCCGCCGGGCCCGGTGGGGCAGCAGGGGGTGCCGGGGGTGCCGGGCCCGCCGGGCGCCGCGGGGCAGCCGGGCAAGGCGGGCGAGTGCAGCCCTGCCGCGTGCCTGGCCGCGCTGCCGCCCGAGCAGCCGCTCTTCCCACCCAAGAACCTCAAGGGCCCCTTTGGGTGAGCGGCGCCCCCCGCTCCCCCCTGCAGCACACGCGTGTTCACGCGTGTTTGTACGTGTGCGCGGCGTGGCTGGGGCCGGACAGCCCCGCCCGCGCCAATAAAGGGACTTTTCAGCCCAAATTTGGACTCCTGTCTCTGGGACTACATGGGGTGGGTGGG